ATTTCATTACGAGAAAAATTCGTTAGTCGTAATCACACTGGTTTTCGTAGTCGTTCACCACGATCAGCCCATATGGTTCATTCTTGAATAGTGAAGACCTATCCCCGTCAGTAAACTTACAAACTGGATAAGAAGCCCGAATTTTAAAAGACCCTAAGCACAAAAGACCAAAATAGAAGACCATTAGTCGGAATGTGAATACAAAATGAAATTCGATGAAGGTTGGTTGCGGACTTGGAAAACTGTGATTGGAACTATCGCACTTGTCTGGTCACTTGACTATTCCGGTTCGGTCAATAAAACGGTGTTGTTCACCTGTTACCTTCCCACTGTAACATATTTTCTGATTTTCGGACACTTTTCAGATGCATAGCAATCCACATGATTGTTATACATGTGAGGTGGAGAAAACCTCAACGGAAAATACTTTACTTGCATCACTTTGATTTTCGTTCGAGAAACTGTTCAAAAATAACCCGAGTTGATGCTGAAATAATTGAGGTGTTTAGGTATCAAAACGGTGAAACAGAAGAATAAGAAAAGGTGCCTTGTAAACACACCACTGCCACTGCTACTACTACTACTACTACTAATAATAATAATAATATTATTATTAGTATTGTTATTATTATTATTATTATTATTAATAGTAAAAATAATACTATCTCAATGGACAATGTTTTGAGCTAGAAACCTGATACGTAGAAATCATTGCGAAACGGTCAAACATTTCAAGGAAATCGAAAATAATAATAAGCACCAACATTATTGTGCGGACTTCGACCTATCACCAGCACCAGTGACATTTGAGCAACCATACGACTATCTATGAACCCATGGGTTACTTTTACTTAACCCGTATGATCCCTAAAAAACGACCTAAGAAGCCAAGGGAGAATTAACAGTGATGAGTGGAATACCTTACCAGTACTCGTATTTCAAACTTACCACATCATATCCCATCTTCCAATAAATTTATGAATGTAGACATTGGAAAATCCACCACCGATTTTCACATTCAAAAATCAACACTGCGAGCCACAATCAAGATACCAACCTTCCACCTTCCGGGCATTTGTCATATCAGTCAAGCTTTCTCGGTGCTGCTAAGCAGATACATTTGTGAAAGTTGGTTGACTGAAAATGAATTGATATTACTCCTAGTGTTGCGGTACTTCCAAGCCTGATTTGGTCAACGCCTTTAGCACACAGTGCAATGAGCTTGCTTTAACAGATTTCACTCTGTCGATTTGAACGACTCAAGTCACAACATGAACAACACTTGAAGAGTAACAGATTAAGACGTGTCGTCTCAGTTTTACCGTTCCACTTTCGAGTGATAGAAAGTGCGCTATGTGAATACTGTTTCTGTGTATGCGAGTGGTAGTAATCATTCAATTTGTACCGTCAAACAATCAGTTTTCCAGTTTAAAGGTATGACATTTTCTCTTCATTACATTTCCTATGAGAAGTGAACTAACACTTCTGATTGCCGTTCTTGTTCATGGTGTTGTACCTGCATTGCTGAGTTAATAATCCAAATTGAAATGGGAGGAACACTTCCTCAGTGTGCAAAACACATCTCTCACGTGATACCTCAAATGCTGCGCTGATTCAACCAAACCCTGTGAATTTTCGATATGAGTAGTATGGCATTGTATCTTGATGACAGGACAAAAATTCCACGGAAGCACACGACCGGTTTCGCGGTTATTGCCGCTCACCAGATATGTGTACCCAGTACTCTTCCGCCCAATCATCCTTATACTTGAGCACTCCACAGTTGGTTTACAGCTGTTATCTCATTTGAATTGAATGGGGCGTGCATGGACGGCGAGTCCATTTTTAGAATCACACGGGACCAAGTGTCCTCGTTCCGAAGGTTAGCCTCGGTAACCGACGAATTATCTTTGGAAGAATCACCGTGTGATTCTAAAAATGAATTCGCCGTCCATGCACGCTCTATTCAATTCAAATGACATGACAGCTGTAAACCCTGTGAAAGTTACTCAGGGCAAGCGACCATTATTGCCGATGTGATTTTTACGATAATTCATTTGAGTAAACTAAAACGTCTCGATAGCATGAGTGCCAGAAATCGGATCATTTCGAAACCAAGATTTACCCGAACAAAATTCACTTACTCTCGAGATTGTGCTCATCTTTTTGACTGGAGTTTCCGAACTTCGTATTGCATCCCACTGAATCTCTTTTATCATCATCCTGTAAAGTTTTATGACGGTTGTTCAACGGATTCGTGAATAGAAATATATGAAGAATTCTAAATACCTGATGAAATGGTATAAACTTTGATGCATCCAACACACCGACAGAAAAAGTGTGGATTCATGGCACTACAGACGAGCCCTTGTTTACGCGTTTTTGGATTTGGAAAAATGCGTGAAAATGTTTGATTTCATTCTTGGTTAAATATGGAAACAGTGAAATGGGAATAATACTACCGAATGGATAACCTAACCGTGATATGGTCACTGATTCACGTAAGGATTCAAGAAGAAGACAGCGCTTTCTGGCCACAAAATAACATTAGAAATGCTCAGCTTGAATGAAAGCTTCGGGAATGAAATATGGGTGGAGACAGTCTAAGTCTGAAACCACACCACTGAAAGCGACAACATTCAGTGGAACCAGGTGAACGTGAGAATGGGCCCATCTTACTGCGTCATTCACTATTGAATTGGTATATTCGAAACCGAAATCACTAATTTTGGCAGAACTAGAAAAAATTTAGTGGTCAATGGACTCGATAAAATAGACTTGCAGGTGGCTTTATAAAACTTTTCAAATATAAGGCTCGATTATATGCGAATATCACGCCGTGGCGTTGGGGCTATAATGAGATAAAGACCAGGAATCGTTCGTGAGTGCGGTCACTAAAGCCAAGCCGATATGAATCAGCATGAGCGAGGGCAATGCTCCAGCGGTGTACTGGGTAGCAGCATTTGCTCCAGAACTTACCAATCGATTTCCTACGTACCAAACCACTTGGTAAAATCTGAATTCAAGTGATACGAAGGAAATTTGGTGAGTGATCGACATCACTTGACAAAGTAAAGCTTCTTTAACCAGGTGGCACAATATTACATTGTCAAAAAATGGATCGATTATTTGCTATTCTTGAATATAGTATTCGGCGTCTATCGTTCCTACTGTATGTAATGATTTTTGTGGAGTATTGTGAACTGGGATTATGACGTACTGATAAATCAACCGGCATTTGTTTGTCAGAGGTGATTAGATTTTGTAATGAGCTGAACAACCAATCGGACAGAGTACGAAAGTTTAAATACTTCTGTGTACCTACTGGTATACCATAGACTTCCTGAGGACTAGATAAAATTTCCCCAGCTTCACACAGTGGTACAGATGTGGGTACATTAGAGATCTATTTTACACTTGCGTCAGGGGAGTAGACCACGCGGATTCAGCGTGTATCCGTCCGGTCTCAAATCTCTGATTCCCAATGGATCACCTATTTAATAACCCTTAGACTTCCGTGCCAGTGTGATGAACGACATCTTTATACTTTTCATCTGAATCCAAACTTCATGCAAATCTTGGAACTATAATTTATCATATTCCCACTGTGTCATTTTCTGGTCGACGCTGTGTCCTATCCACTTGTTTGTAACTTAATTATCCGAGCCCATCTTTCACGTGTCGTTCACTCGATTATTTGTTTCAATTTGCCACATTGCCCAAAGTCCAGTACCGAGTTTATTTTCTCCGTGTGTTCCAGAATAAGGCCCCCGTCTCTGTATTTCACTTGAACGATCGGAATTACCATACATTCAACCATTTATATGAGCATATTGTGGATCTCTACACTACTACCCAGCCGCCCACAATGTGATACATGTCATCAGTTACTCCCACTTGATTTTTTTCAATCATCAACGGTCCTGGGTTTTTTAGTTTGAAACTCAAAGTTTGTCTTCGATCCACTCACCAAACCAGATTCCATTCCGTTATGACACATTTTGGCTCATCCTTGTTCACTCTAGATTGTTAGCAGTTTCTGACGATGGGATCTGGAAGTCGTTGTCTCTACCTAATTGATCCGTTCAAAGTAATTTATCCCCCCCCCCCCAACCCACTGCTGACCACCTTTGAAAAAACAACTCCCAACAGTACAACCCCCAAGGGAATTGATAAAATGATTATTTTTTTTGATACAATGCACGCAATTTGAACTCACGTGGTTAAAACATTTCGTGTCGTTTGGTAATCTATACATCGTCAGAGTGAAAAGTGCCGTTTCGCTAGACCCCCATCGGAATTTTCATATTAGCAAAATATTATCGTGCAAAAATGCCTCAGTGGATAAATGATGAAGGCAGGATTATTAGCGCTGAACACAAGTCGAATCTCCTAGTTGAGTGTTGAGACCTACAAACAAGCACACTCATGAAACATATAGTGTGCTGTAGGCAGCATAATAAAAACACAATTGACTACGTTGAGACCACTGGAAGATCAGATTAAAGTTTTGCCTGTATTTGTCAACGGAAGGATGATACTAATAATAGTACTCAGTAATCAGAGTGACTATCTGGCGAGAGGTGTTGTTATGTTATCGTAAGCAATGTGACACGCTCTCATCTGGTATTGGTACAATGAACCCAGGAATTCCTCCCTTCAGTAAAATGGCTGTTGCTCATAGTAGTAAGAAAACCCCCATGGTAACGAGCACATCTCACAAACAGCCTTGGTAACTGAAATTAGGAAGGCACACAAATTACTGTCATTCAGTGGGCGTAGAGGAAAGAAAATCGAAATCATGTAAAAAAAAAACTCGAGAACCAATAGGCAGCTGTGTTACAGGTGAAGACACATTGGATATTGATGAGTCTGGATATTCGTCAAGTATATAAATCACGGTATTTTCGACTGATCTAGATCGGATAAAGCAGTTGAACTTACCATGAAGATGCATTCACGCTGTGCAGCAGTCCTACTGCTAATGTGTCTTTGTGTAGCCCCAGGTGAGTGATTATTTAGCGATAGAGATTGATAAAACCGTAGGCATTAGACACATTCAAATCTGAGACAGTCTAAAGCATGTATTTTCATTTTACAACGAAATAGGATGATAAATGTAAACAAGGCCTGTGATTATGTTAGATGAACACAACTACAAATATCACGCACTTAAATATATATTATTCATTAGACCGGTTTCAAATCACTCGCATTTGTTCAATTTGTGCATAACGGAGATTAGTGAGGATGATGAACACCGCATTCACTGAGGCGGGTTATGCACAACGAAATCAAAACAAGTGTTCAGAAATATTGTGCTGCGTAGACCGTCCCCACCGATCAGTGTGCTGGATCGTAACACACTTACATACCAGTTCTTCTGTTCAACTCTGGATGTTCTAACTTCAGTTTATCTTTTGTTAGTAATCATTAGATCGTACTGGTTAGGAGGGGGATTTTGACTGCAGTGAAGCATTCATCACTCTCAATAGTTCCAACCTATTTCAGCATATTCCGAGTCGTGGGGCTCGCACGTCTCATATACAACTAATGTTTAGCTACTTTTTCAGTCACCAACTGTCCAGTCGATTACTTGGACAAACTTCTTCAAAACTTCAACCCATAACAGCTATTTTACAAGGTATCCTTCCCCCATCTTCCCGATGAGGCTGTTATCTGTAAGCCTCACTCGATTAGTGACAATCCAATACTCTTGAAACAAAAAGCAACCAAACTCACCAACTGGTCTTCCAATCTTAACATACAAATAAATCCCTCCAAATTCTCGGGTATTGCCATTTTTTGTCAGAACAAAATTTACAGTTCTGATCTCACATCTAAACCAGACTTACTCATCAACGGCGTGCACACTGTTAGGGCGTTGTCTACCAAATATTGGCGAAGTATTATTATTCATCGTGGTCTATCATGATCCGCTGACTTCGCTTCTGTTTTCCTATCAATTAGACGGTGTTAACCTTATACGTGCTACGGGTTAAATTCACTTTCACAAAAATTTACCTGATTATATTGTTTACATTCAAATGAATATTTCCCCACTATCCTTACGCTTACCCATTTATTACTCATGCTCTGTCCTCTCAATACCTCAAATATATCTTCACACTGACCAAATATCCTTATCGATTTGGTGAAATCTCTGACGGTCAGCTTACTCAGCATATAGCAACCCCGTAAGCTCTAAGCTTGTTTGAAATTTCCCTCACAGTTACTGGATGACCAATCACATCCCACTCATTCTAATCTCCGTGTTCGTATATCTACCTCTTCTAGTAGGTTGAGCTACAAACACCCATTTCCAATTTCGGCTCTTGTGAACCTTCTGCGGTTTCTTTCTTTACCAAAACTACCACAGTAACCGAAACAATAAACTAAAAACTGGCTAAGCTAAACCGATTTCTCCACTGTTGCTATAAACTTGCTCTCAATGTTTCTGCATCGGGGTGGTTCTGAAGTCTGATGAATGATCATGTCCAGATGTAGGAAGCAAATAATTGACTGGAATTGAAAGAAACTAACAACCACCCAAGGCAATGTATAGTAAAGAAATAATAATAATTTCATCATTCACCAAATTTTATATACCAACTTAAATATTCTCATCAGATTCCAAAGGTTTAGAGTCATCATTCATCATCATTGAGGATTTCATAACGAAAAAAATGTTTAAAATATTCACCTTCAGGAAAGGCGAACGGGAGAAACCGAAGTATGCATGGGTTTGGGAAAAGCATCAGTTAGATTATTTTTGTAATTTATTTAGGAAGGCAAGTGATTAGGCTTTTCAATGGAAATTCCATCAGGTCCAAATTTGTGGGCAGAATAGGTCTGGAGTATGTAGTCCATCGCTGCATTATAGAGCCGTGGTGGCGTGTCGGTGCCTCATCTCGGTCTGAGTTAAAAAACACTAACATGGTCGGTCGCATCCTGATTGTTATCCTGTACATTAGTCAACATTAATTATGCATACAATCATCAGTCTGATTGATCACAGAATAAATATTGTACAACTACAAAGAGATTCAAATTTTTCTTAGTCTGACTATCAATCGACCACATCCAGTCGATCCACCATTTTTCCCATAGATATCGTTATGCGCATATTTGTTGTTTGTGTTCGGCTTGCGTAGCATACCAGCATCAAATGCACGACACTACGGAACTGATTAGTCAGTTTCACGATGTTGTCTGAAGCATTGATGAATGGCCCAGTGCCGTTAACAGATAGCGCGTCATAGTCTGCCCAAAATCGATGGCAAATTTCACGCCAGAGAAGCGCGTCGATGACCCAATCGATCCGTGCAGAAACTCACTCTCATCGAACCGAGCGAAATCAACTACCCAGCGGCCTTGAGTTTTCTCAGTTGAATGCACGTGAATCAACTAAACAGGAGCCAACAGTTGCTTTTACCCACCGGAACCGTTTCAGCCAAAAGGCAACTTAACCAAAAAGCCAATCCGAAGACTCCGTCGGGGGGAGTGTTTTGGACCAATGCGATTCATACCACGGTCTGGACTTTGGTCAACTACTGTCCGATACAAACAGCTTGTATTTGTGCAACAAACAAGATGGGTCGGAAGTAGGAGATTCTTCCAATCAGACCTACCGAGACTGATTTTACAGGACCCTAGAGTGTTTTGCCAAAGAATATGTCCCGAACATGTGAAATATTGCCATCGAAGCAGTTGAGTATGATAGATCCGAGTCGTTTGGCTGAAAAGTGGCGGTTGTGGTATCAGAATTGTGGAGATTTTGCCGTATTCACGAGTTTATATTCGGAAAGAAATGAACGCCAAATGCATATGCATCGTCGCTGTTTGGGAGATGATTCCACAAGAGTACTGAATACCATCAAATCTGACGTGAAAGATGACCTACAAGACTCACGAACGGTGCTACAAAAGATGCATGACAATTAGTTGATTCTACGAAATGGAATACTTCAACGGAACCAGTAATTTTCGCAGGGAACAGAGGGAGAAGGAAATAATCGATGACTGAGTCATTGCTGTGAAAAATCTGGCCAACTCGTGTGATTTACGTAACTATATGAAAGACCGCCTGATGCGAGATAAGCCGTTGCCTGGAGTTCAGAATAAATATACCACGAAACATTTGTTGCACATGCTCCAGTTTGACTCGAATACATAAACCGATATTTGCATAAGCGATCAGCTGGACACTAATCAGGTTAATCGCCTCACTGAAAGCATTATAAAGACCGATTCGAAAGTGATAACGGGACTCGCCCTCGTCGAGTGCGTGGTTTATAAAAGTCCACATTGGAGACGAAAAGAAAATTCTCCAGCCTGGTCCAGGACGTGTTCTTATTGTTGTGAGCAGAATCGGTTTACTCGTACGTGTCGTTCAGTTCCCACAAAGCCAGTCAACCGTTCAGTGGAGTCAAAGCACGCTGTGAGCGGTCTCCCAGGTGGCACCACGAATAAAGGAGTATTGGCGAAAATTCTAACAAATGGGAAACTCTTTCGGGTCCAAATGCATTCGGGGACCTCGATGAATACAATTCCCGTGTTCTGCGTTGATCCACTGGAGATCCGCAGTTGGAACACCAGTTTGGCAATGTAGTACGGAATTGGGACTGATGCCTTGGGAGAAATTGAATTGCAATTCAAAATCCCAAGGACCACACTGAAAGAATAGTCACGTTCATAGTGAGAAAGACCAATTGGTTGTCAATATTAGGACTGGATGCGATCCAAGAGCTAGAATTTGTCACTGTATGCCATGGAAATTCCGTCAACGTTTTATAAACTCATTTTTACTCCGTATGCATCAGTTATTTGATTCTCAGTTAAAGCATTTATCTGAAAAGATACATTAGTCAGTGATTCATGGTGTTTTTCCCATTTCATTGCTGGTCTGTGGTGTTCCATTGGTATTAAGGGAAACTGTGCAGTATAAGACCGAGTGGTTAGTGCGCCTCGAGGCAATTGCTGTAGTCGGCAAGTCAACTGATTGGGTTAGCCAGATCGTGAGCAGAGTAAAGAAAACAGAAGCGATTTGCATGTGCATAGATCCAATAAAAGATGGGAGGAGAACCGACCATCCAAATTTGACGACGATCTCGTTGATGTGAGTTAGGTATATTTGCTTAAGAAGGTTGACTTATATTCAGCATTCTGGAGGAAGAAATTAGACGAAGATTCAAGAAATTTAATTATATCCGGAAGATTCTCGGTCAGTCCGTAGTCCTCCGAGGCCAGAAATCTTAAAATAAGCAGTTGAAAAGAGACGTCAAAATGCCTAACTAATTCTGATCCACCACTTTTCAGAAACTACAACAACAGCTCAAACAACAACGACCACACCTGGTGAGTGCTTCTCGTGATATGCACCGTATGCAACAAGATTACACCAAAAACACATTTATTACACCATGAAAAATATCTCGTTGCTTTCTCGTCACACTGGCATGATTCGTGGCCGAATAGCACGACATGAGGTCATGTGCAATTTTGAAATGAATAGATACGATATAACAGGATGATATGACGACGCCGAACCGCATTGACTAGAGAGCACATATTATGCAAATGCTAAAATGATTATTATGCCCTCAATTTGACATCCGATCGATCTCATCCGTACGTTTGCTTGGTGGATTGGTTCATTGATTGAATTGTTGATTGATCTATTGTTTCACACTGATCTATGGATATCGTAATACTTGTTGTTGCCTTTTGTGTTCAGCGTGTCTTGCACACGAGTACCAATTGCACCGAGTTCTCTAGGTGATCATTCACCCTTGAGTGGTTTCGATCGAATTGGTAATAAAATTTATCATTTAGAAAAATGACCCCGTAGTATGCAGATATTGACACAGACAGCTATAAGTAGACAGAGCGAGAGACAGTGATACATGCCGATAGACATACAGATAGGCTCATAGACAGGAAGACAGTCATGGAGAGACAGACATGCATACATGTAGGCGGGCGGATTGGTAGACACACGGACTGACATACTGGGAGACGGACTTAGAGATAGAAAGAGAGACAGACTCACAGACAGACGGACAGGGGTAAAGACAAATAGAGATATAAGGAGATAGACGGACACAGAATGTGACAGACGGAAAGACAAACAATCAGATAGATGGACAAACATAATGACTGACTAAATGAGATATAACAAACATCAGTGAGAAAGAGGGATAAGCAGAAAGTAGACTGGCTAACTTCTTGACAGGTATAGCAACGGAGAGAGTTCGAACGAGTCGCCATCATGCCTAACTAATTCTGATCCACCACTTTTCAGAAACTACAACAACAGCTCAAACAACAACGACCACACCTGGTGAGTGCTTCTCGTGATATGCACCGTATGCAACAAGATTACACCAAAAACACATTTATTACACCATGAAAAATATCTCGTTGCTTTCTCGTCACACTGGCATGATTCGTGGCCGAATAGCACGACATGAGGTCATGTGCAATTTTGAAATGAATAGATACGATATAACAGGATGATATGACGACGCCGAACCGCATTGACTAGAGAGCACATATTATGCAAATGCTAAAATGATTATTATGCCCTCAATTTGACATCCGATCGATCTCATCCGTACGTTTGCTTGGTGGATTGGTTCATTGATTGAATTGTTGATTGATCTATTGTTTCACACTGATCTATGGATATCGTAATACTTGTTGTTGCCTTTTGTGTTCAGCGTGTCTTGCACACGAGTACCAATTGCACCGAGTTCTCTAGGTGATTATTCACCCTTGAGTGGTTTCGATCGAATTGGTAATAAAATTTATCATTTAGAAAAATGACCCCGTAGTATGCAGATATTGACACAGACAGCTATAAGTAGACAGAGCGAGAGACAGTGATACATGCCGATAGACATACAGATAGGCTCATAGACAGGAAGACAGTCATGGAGAGACAGACATGCATACATGTAGGCGGGCGGATTGGTAGACACACGGACTGACATACTGGGAGACGGACTTAGAGATAGAAAGAGAGACAGACTCACAGACAGACGGACAGGGGTAAAGACAAATAGAGATATAAGGAGATAGACGGACACAGAATGTGACAGACGGAAAGACAAACAATCAGATAGATGGACAAACATAATGACTGACTAAATGAGATATAACAAACATCAGTGAGAAAGAGGGATAAGCAGAAAGTAGACTGGCTAACTTCTTGACAGGTATAGCAACGGAGAGAGTTCGAACGAGTCGCCATCATGCCTAACTAATTCTGATCCACCACTTTTCAGAAACTACAACAACAGCTCAAACAACAACGACCACACCTGGTGAGTGCTTCTCGTGATATGCACCGTATGCAACAAGATTACACCAAAAACACATTTATTACACCATGAAAAATATCTCGTTGCTTTCTCGTCACACTGGCATGATTCGTGGCCGAATAGCACGACATGAGGTCATGTGCAATTTTGAAATGAATAGATACGATATAACAGGATGATATGACGACGCCGAACCGCATTGACTAGAGAGCACATATTATGCAAATGCTAAAATGATTATTATGCCCTCAATTTGACATCCGATCGATCTCATCCGTACGTTTGCTTGGTGGATTGGTTCATTGATTGAATTGTTGATTGATCTATTGTTTCACACTGATCTATGGATATCGTAATACTTGTTGTTGCCTTTTGTGTTCAGCGTGTCTTGCACACGAGTACCAATTGCACCGAGTTCTCTAGGTGATCATTCACCCTTGAGTGGTTTCGATCGAATTGGTAATAAAATTTATCATTTAGAAAAATGACCCCGTAGTATGCAGATATTGACACAGACAGCTATAAGTAGACAGAGCGAGAGACAGTGATACATGCCGATAGACATACAGATAGGCTCATAGACAGGAAGACAGTCATGGAGAGACAGACATGCATACATGTAGGCGGGCGGATTGGTAGACACACGGACTGACATACTGGGAGACGGACTTAGAGATAGAAAGAGAGACAGACTCACAGACAGACGGACAGGGGTAAAGACAAATAGAGATATAAGGAGATAGACGGACACAGAATGTGACAGACGGAAAGACAAACAATCAGATAGATGGACAAACATAATGACTGACTAAATGAGATATAACAAACATCAGTGAGAAAGAGGGATAAGCAGAAAGTAGACTGGCTAACTTCTTGACAGGTATAGCAACGGAGAGAGTTCGAACGAGTCGCCATCATGCCTAACTAATTCTGATCCACCACTTTTCAGAAACTACAACAACAGCTCAAACAACAACGACCACACCTGGTGAGTGCTTCTCGTGATATGCACCGTATGCAACAAGAATATCTTCCCTCGCTTTCATCTCAAGTTTGCGTTCCGCGCTTTGACATGTTCTCATATTGATATTACACCTTTTGCATGTTTTGATATTTCATTTTCACATCTGTGTGTTATACTTCGTCGTATTATATCTTTTTCATATTTCCTCAACTTTTTTTGCCTTTTCATCTTCTTTCTTTCCACCGTTTGTTCTTGATTTGAAATCATACATTATTTGCTGACCCGTCACTATTTTGTTTTATTGCCTAAAATATCAGAGTTTCCTCTCTCTAATTTTTTTATACTTTTGTTGTTGTTGCACACAATATTAATTGTTTGTTTTTGTTCGTGGTCTTTTTTACAGGTGGTGCAAACAATATAAGGTGCTTCCGTGAACTCGTTCTCGCCTTTATCCTACTGAAGCAAATTTATGGTCAGATATCTATGTGAAGCAATTCACCACACGGATTACCCTATCTTTCTCACTATTCTGAATCCTTTTTAAATAACTCACTATTCCTTTAGAATCCTCTTTTAACTACTGAATAGATTCATACGTGCCCACACTCACGGTTCCTCAACTACATGTCATATTGATTATTTTAAATCAAAAATTTCCACAAGCAGAACAAAAGTCACCAAATGAAATAGTTCTCCCTCATTGTGAAAACAGTTTGCTGGGATTCATTAAGTTAGCATCTAACAGCACGAGTCAGGCAACTGGTGTTTGGTGGTAAATGATCGACCAATTGATGTAAGCAACCTCGTGGTAAAGATTGTCGGACGAGTCACCAAACATAGTAAGGAGTCACGTATCTCGCTTGAATTTCGAGAGCACAAGGAGGAGCGTATTAATTGTAATATCTATTATTACTCAATGAACAACCTTCTGACAAAGAAGCACTGTCTTATCTTCCTCGGTCAGCATCACGGGCAATCCAATCAAAATGTGCTTTGCACAGTTGGAGCCTTCCCGTTGAAGATAATTAACCACTGCAAATCAGTGGGATTATTGCAACACAAATATAAGATAACATAAGTATGATCAATTCAATTGAAATCATTTCAAACAGCTCATTGTTTGAATTGTTTGCAACTCAGAAATCAAATTTGAGTAAGGATTTGGTGCCTATTCAAGCATCGTTATTCTTGCTAAGGTTGACGTAGCAGCTACACACAGTTCCAACCTCAACCTGCCTATACAAATTAGTCTTCGCTTTAACTCAATTCATTTTGAAAGTCAATGGAAAACTACTAATATGATAACTAGCCAAAAATACTTGTCTATCTCACACAAAGTCTCGCAAAACTATGTAGATTTCACATCCTTTACATGGAGGAACACAAATTCTGATGCACTCCGAAGTTGACACAGTGGAAGGGTGAATGTGGATTTCGTACTGAGCGTACATGCTGAGAATCACGATGATCTAATTTCGCATCCTTCACTATGCTATCATCTGTACCGTGTGTGTTATGTTATAGTGCTTTGGCGAAATGGTATTCCAAAAGGTATTGTATTCACTAGTAGGATTAAAATAATTCATTCAGCTGTTGTCAATCTGAGGTGTGCTGTATGTGAAATAAAGTCTGTCATTCAGCATACAAAAGATCCCACTGCATAGTTCAAATGATTTATTCTCCCAACGAAGGTTTCTCACAGAACGTTTGATGTCTCCCGATGTTGTAGTGGTCGAGGAAAAACCATACTGCAAATTCAGATGACCGTGTTCCTGAGGTCGATCGGTTGATTGAGTCACGCATAAGTACCAGAAATAACACAAAGAAAACTGAGACTGTATTCGAATATCGAACTTACGCTGAACTCAGTCAACTGGTACACGATAGAAACATATTCACCTGATTTCCGTTAGCACAATTCACAGTTATAAAATGGCAAGTTTTCTCATTTATGGTCGTATGGGAAAAACCAATGAACTTCGTCATTCGTCGACAGACAAATACGTACAGATTAAACACGACACGCTTGTAAAGAGGTCAACGAAGCCGCACGATTTCCAGAGCAAGACTACGATCTTTCTCAATGATAACATGATTGAAGTCATCAGCATCATCATTATGTGAGCGATTATCGATGAACCAATTCGTATCTGAAGGATCATCATCATGAGCGGATGCATCATAACCATGTCATTACTATCATAAAGTTCAATTCAGTTCAGCTCAGTTCAAACAATCATCAACCAAGCACTGTGTGCGCTGGTCTTGGTTGCTTCCTCCCAGCGACAGCCTCAATAAGAAATAATGAGAAAGAACAGGAATATGAAGGGAGTAGTCAGAGAACTACGAAAAAAAGTATGAATTTTAAAAGGAAAGTTTGTAGATACAAGATTTCCACTGATCGCTACACCTGACTACTTCTTTAAACGACTAGGTGGCAGGTCTCTTGGAACCTATTCCGGAAGCCTAACACGTCCCACATAGCCAAGTCAACGAGTTAGATTTCCCATAACTTTGTTCCATGTCATGTACTGGCCACCCCTACGCATCTTCTAACCGTTACTCACCTCAGCGAACATTGTGCATCGAGGAATCCTATCACGGGACATGTGCAACACATGTCCTTATCATCTTGGACAGATTACCATAAGTGTTTCATCTAGTGATTTGGTTCGTGAACCTAAGACTCTTCGCCGAACATCAGCATTGTTTAAAACGTGTTTCCACTAGATGCGACAAATGCTACGAAGATATCGGTGTTCAAATACCGACAATCTTCGTAAGTTCTCTACTCGCAGTAGCCATGTCTCCGAAGCATGCAAAAGCACTGGCCTGACTGCTGTAGTGTAAGCTCGATCCTTGATGGATAATCATGCATAATGTCAATGCCACAGATGACTCAGGTTGGCAAACGCCAAACGAGTCTTCTGTATACGCAAAGACAGCTCATCCAATATGCGACCTCTGGGTGAAATTCAGTTTCCCAGATAAAGGGACTTATGTGCTTGATCTGTAGTCTCCTCAGACACAAAACGTATGCCAAACCATGTTACACAGTCAGTCAGACTGTCCACAAAAGCTTGTAACTTTCTTCGACCCTCACTTGGAAGAACTACGTCGTCCGCATATTCAAGGTCTGACACTTTGCCATCCGCGAAACGTTCAATACTACTATCCCCAATAGATAAAAGCCCATTCTCCGGGACAATATCACTTACAATGGAAAGGAGAATGGGGGAAACCGTGCATAAACCATTTATCGTGGGGAGCTCGGATGAAAGAGCACGGTAAACCTGAACTCGGCTTCGGCTATTCGTGTACAGATACCATGTAGTGCAATTGAATTTCTCTGGTACACTTGTGAAAAAGAGGCAGAACCAGATAACTGTGTGGTAGACTGAGTCGAAGACCGCTTTTGAATAAAGAAAAATAGAGATTATGGGTTTACCGAAGGTGTGCCCATGTTCTAAAATTTGTCAAAGAATGAAGATATGGTCAATACACTGTCGGCCAGGTCTAATTCCAGCTTGATTCTTGAGCCAAAACATTTTGCGAGCTGTTGATAAGCGGTGGAGAATAATACCAGCAAGCAGTTTGCATGAAATGCTAATCAGACTTTACTATCTGTGTTTATTACAGGAGAACTTATCGCTGTTCTCCTTGTTAATCGATATGAGCACCGATTCACACCAGCTCTTTGGAATATGTTCCCTATCCCAAACCAAATGAAGGGTTTTGTCAACTTCAGTGACAGTGCTGAACCATCGTCTTTGAAAATAGATGGGGCAACCTATCCGGTCCATCAATAGTATATCGTTTATGGTTGCTCATCTCATGAAGAACCTCCGCTTCTCACGGGTGTCAGTATCTACGAACAGAACTACAACCATGGTGCTACCTAGCAGACCTTCGTGGATAAAGGTCAATTAAAACGCTCCTCGAAATGCTCCACCCAATGAACTAGACGACGCTCCTGAGTTTGAATCAGTTAGCCATTTGCTTTTTTGATCAATTCACTAACACCTCACTTTCGTGGATCAGTATATCTGATTAGACGTGAAAGGCTGCGGCTGTTGCTGATCGCCGAAGCTTTCTCCATCTCCTTACACTTCTCAATCCACCAATACTCAAGATCGTATCTCAGTCTTTGAATCAGTGATCATTTTCGCGACTCTTCTTATTAGTGAATGACCTGTGCGTGCGTGCGTGTGTGTGAGAGATTTTCTCAATCACCCATTTCACCAGTGATCCAAGATTTCCTGTGACCATAGATAGGTTGTGGGTAGGAAGCACATGGTTTTGGGACACCACGGTACCGATAACCGTTTCTAACATGTACTGTTGGCTCGGTCCTACTTCGCTAGGAATATGTCTCTTCTGAGCATTTGTACGATTTGATATCCATTCACGGATTTCTGTGAATAAATGACTCCAACAAATTGAGGTACGTTGTCTGTATTTGTATCAACCATTCCCTAAATTGCACGTCGACTAACGACTCTTCTTATTTGACTTCGGGTTCCTGGTTCGTATTCCAAGAGTCACTCAATCACCGGACAGCGGTTCAGTTAAAATCGATGTGCGATAAAATTTGTCCAAGAATTATTTACAAAAGGACGCAAAATCTGGCTATCGCGCCCTGACTGTTTGAACAAAAACACTGGGACAAATCAAAATTCACTCTCTAGGAATATGTTATAGTCTGGATCGTTCAAATTTTGCATTTCGACATGCAAGTTGTACGACTGTTCTCATTATAAGATTCACTTTGCGGTCGATTTTCGGAACACATCGATTCGGCACTTTTGCCAAAAACTAGAGACTTCAAGTTTTCGCTGGAAGCATTGCAGCATATTATTATCGTCGACCGTTCTCTTACTACTCATACCAGAACATTCTTCACCTACTTGCACAATACCTGTGTTTGGCGCACTTCATAACAACAAACTTTTTTCACTACCATTGAGTATTTTGCGCGACTCATGATATTGCATTGTATGCTATGGACATTCATCAAACTTTGATATTAGGAAGCCTTACCAGTTTTGTGATTACTGTTCACTTCAGCACTGTCTGTGTCACGATAAAGGAAATATATCCAGATCTACATCCTTGTTGCTGACTGACCCATAGAAGACTGACAACATGATTATAACTCATCAAACAAATTTCAAGTATGATATTCTCGGAGATGATTTTATGCTTGGGTAAACTGAAATAAGAATATTTTCTGTTCGGTTATAAAGGATTAATAGCATGGTGAGAAGTATCAAAAGAGAACATATGTTGCTCAAGAAAAGTGGTTCATTTGAAATAGTTCTCGAAATCAGCGAGGCAGCAGTCTGGCGGCACTAGTGATATATTATATGTGAATAATGAAAACGTTGTAGCAGATGCTCCGGGATTTGCTGATTATGATGA